ATTATTATTATTATTATTATTACTATTATTATTATTATTATTATTATTATTATTATTATTATTACTATTATTATTATTATTATTATTATTAGTGGCAGGATTTATTATGGATTTTTTTTATTATTGTTAATGTTAACTATTAACCGCCATTATTACCACAACTACTACGATTATTACCACAACTACTACCATTATTACCACAACTACTACCATTATTACCACAACTATTACCATTATTACCCCAACTACTACCATTTTTACCACAAATATTACCATTAAATTTCCACAACTACTACCATTATTACCACAACTACTACCATTATTACCACAACTACTACCATTATTACCACAACTACTAAACCATTATTACCCACAACTATTACCATTATTACCACAACTACTACCATTATTACCACAACTACTACCATTATTACCACAACTACTACCATTATTACCACAACTATTACCATTATTACCACAACTACTACCATTATTACCACAACTACTACCACCATTATTACCACAACTACCACAATTATTACCACAACTACCACAATTATTACACAACTACCACCATTATTACCACAACTACCACAATTAATACCACAACTACCACCATTATTACCACAACTACTACCACCATTATTACCACAACTACCACCATTATTACCACAACTACTACCACCATTATTACCACAACTACCACCAATATTACCACAACTACTACCACCATTATTACCACAACTACCACCATTATTACCACAACTACTACCAACCATTATTACCACAACTACCACCATTATTACCACAACTACTACCACCATTATTACCACAACAAGCACCACAATTATTACAACTTTCCACCATTATTACCCCAACTACCACCACCATTTTTACCACAACTACCACCATTATTACCACAACTACCACCACAATACCACAACTACCACCATTATTACCCCAACTACCACCACCATTATTACCACAACTACCACCATTATTACCACAACTACTACCACCATTATTACCACAACTAGCACCACAATTATTACAGCTACCACCATTATTACCCCAACTACCACCACCATTTTTACCACAACTACCACCACAATTATTACCACAACTACCATCATTATTACCCCAACTACCACCACCATTATTACCACAACTACCACCACAATTATTACCACAACTACCACCATTATTACCCCAACTACCACCACCATTATTTTCCACAACTACCACCACCATTATTACCACAACTTCCACCACCATTATTAATACAACTTCCACCACCATTATTACCACAACTTCCACCCACCATTATTACTACAAAATTCTACCACCATTATTACCACAACTACCACCACAATTATTACCACAACTACCACCATTATTACCCCAACTACCACCACCATTATTACCACAACTACCACCACCATTATTAACACAACTACTACCACCATTATTACCACAGCTACCACCATTATTACCACAACTACTACCACCATTATTACCACAACTACCACCACCATTACCACAACTACCACCATTATTACCACAATAACTACCCCCATTATTACCACAACTACCACCACCATTATTACCACAACTACCACCACCATTATTACCACTACTACCATTATTACTACAACTACCACCACCATTAATACTACTATTACCATTACCATTATTACCACAACTACAACCATTATTACCACTACCTTAACCATTATTACCACAAGTACTACCACCATTATTACCACAACTACCACCACCCTTATTACCACAAGTATTACCACCATTATTACCACAACTACCCCCACCCTTATAACCACAAGTACTTCCACCATTATTACCACAATTACTACCATTATTACTGCAACTAGTACCATTATTACCACTACTACCATTATTACTACAACTACTACCACCATTATTACCAAACTACTACCACTACCCATCAGTTACACAACCCAGGGCAACATGGGTTTAGAGCAGGTCGCTCCTGTCTGTCTCAACTACTGGATCACTACGACAAGGTCCTAAATGCACTAGAAGACAAAAAGAATGCAGATGTAATATATACAGACTTTGCAAAAGCCTTCGACAAGTGTGACCATGGCGTAATAGCGCACAAAATGCGTGCTAAAGGAATAACAGGAAAAGTCGGTCGATGGATCTATAATTTCCTCACTAACAGAACACAGAGAGTAGTCGTCAACAGAGTAAAGTCCGAGGCAGCTACGGTGAAAAGCTCTGTTCCACAAGGCACAGTACTAGCTCCCATCTTGTTCCTCATCCTCATATCTGACATAGACAAGGATGTCAGCCACAGCACCGTGTCTTCCTTTGCAGATGGGCACCGAATCTGCATGACAGTGTCTTCCATTGCAGACACTGCAAGGCTCCAGGCGGACATTGCAGACACTGCAATGCTCCAGGCGGACATCAACCAAATCTTTCAGTGGGCTGCAGAAAACAATATGAAGTTCAACGATGAGAAATTTCAATTACTCAGATATGGAAACATGAAGAAATTAAATCTTCATCAGAGTACAAAACAAATTCTGGCCACAAAATAGAGCGAAACACCAACGTCAAAGACCTGGGAGTGATCATGTCGGAGGATCTCACCTTCAAGGACCATAACATTGTATCAATCGCATCTGCTAGAAAAATGACAGGATGGATAATGAGAACCTTCAAAACTAGGGAGGCCAAGCCATGATGACACTCTTCAGGTCACTTGTTCTATCTAGGCTGGAATATTGCTGCACACTAACAGCACCTTTCAAGGCAGGTGAAATTGCCGACCTAGAAAATGTACAGAGAACCTTCACGGCGCGCATAACGGAGATAAAACACCTCAATTACTGGGAGCGCTTGAGGTTCCTAAACCTGTATTCCCTGGAACGCAGGAGGGAGAGATACATGATTATATACACCTGGAAAATCCTAGAGGGACTAGTACCGAACTTGCACACGAAAATCACTTACTACGAAAGCAAAAGACTTGGCAGACGATGCAACATCCCCCGAATGAAAAGCAGGGGTGTCACTAGCACGTTAAGAGACCATACAATAAGTGTCAGGGGCCCGAGACTGTTCAACTGCCTCCCAGCATACATAAGGGGGATTACCAACAGACCCCTGGCAGTCTTCAAGCTGGCACTGGACAAGCACCTAAAGTCAGTTCCTGTTCAGCCGGGCTGTGGCTCGTACGTTGGTTTGCGTGCAGCCAGCAGCAACAGCCTGGTTGATCAGGCTCTGATCCACCAGGAGGCCTGGTCACAGACCGGGCCGCGGGGGCGTTGACCCCCGGAACTCTCTCCAGGTAAACTCCAGGTAAACTATTATTACCGCAACTAGTACCACCATTATTACCACAACAACTACAATTATTACCACAACTACCACCACCATTATTACCACAACTACCACTGTCATTATTACCACAACTACCACCACCAATATTACTACAACTACTTCCACCATTATTACAATAACTGCTACCACCATTATTACCACAATGACTACAGTTATTACCACAAGTACCACCTCCATTATTACCCCAACTACCACCACCATTATTACCAACAGTTACTGCCATTAATACCACAACTACTACCAGCATTTTTACCACAACTTTCACCACCATTATTTCCACAACTACGTCCATTATTACGATAACTACCACCACCATTATTACCACAACTTCCACCATTATTACCACAACTACCACCACCATTATTACCACAACTACCACCATTATTACCACAACTACCTCCACGATTATTAACACAACTGCTACTGTTATTACCACATCTACAACCACCATTATTACCACAATTACTACAACCATTATTACCACAACTACTACCATTATTACCACACCTACGACCATTATTATCACAACCACTACCACCATTATTACCACAATTACCAGCACCACTACCACTATCATCACAAGTACCACAAGTACTCCCTCTGCTTCAACTACCACCACTACCACAACTACCATCGATACAACTATCATCACCACCACCACAACTTCCACCACTACAACTACTACCACATCCACTACCACAATTATCACCACTACCTCCACCACCACCATCACAACTTCCACCACGAACACAGCTACCACCACCACAACTACCACCACGAACACAGCTACCACCACCACAACCACCACCACGAACACAGCTACCACCACCACAACTACCACATCGACCACCACCACCATAAGTACCATCACCACAACTACCACCACCACCACCACCATCACAACTACCACCACTACCACTACTAGACAACTACCACCCAAACCACTACCACTACCCCAAGTACCACCAACACAACCTCCACAACTACCACCACTACCACAACTACCACTATAGACAACTACCACCACAACCACCACCACTACCCAAGAACCACCAACACAACCTCCACAACTACTGGCACTGCCACGACTACCACAGTGACCACCACCTCCACAAATACTACCACACACCAAACTTCAATAGCAACCACCACAACCACAACTACCTCCACTACATAATTACCACATTGACCACCACCACCACCACCACTGCAAGTTCCACCACCACAAGTAACACCACCGCCACAATACCACCAGTGCAACCACCACTACACATACCACCACCACAACCTCTACAACTACAGCACTACCACGACTACCACAGTGACCACCACCTCCACAAGTACCACCACCACAACTTCCAACAGTACCACCACTTCCACAACTACCACCACCACCACAACTTCAATAGCAACCACCACCACCACCACCACCACCACAAGTACCACCACCACAACCACCACCACCACAACCACTACCACAAGTACCTCCACTACCACAATTACCACATTGACCACCACCACCACTGCAAGCTCCACCACCAGTACAACCACCACCACATGTACCACCACCACGATCACTACCACCACTACCACAACTACCACCACCACAGATGTGCCGCTGGTAGACCTAACTCTGGATGAAGGCATCAACATAGAGAACATCAAGGAAGGTGACAACGTGACCTTGATATGTAGTGTCACCGCTAACCCACCAGTCAAGCATGTCTACTGGTACCATCGTGTAAGTCATGTCACTAGTACCATTGTGTAAGTCAGTCAAGCATGTCTACTGGTACCATCGTGTAAGTCATGTCACTAGTACCATTGTGTCTGTCATGTCACTAGTACCATTGTGTAAGTCAGTCAAGCATGTCTACTGGTGCCATCGTGGTAGTCATGTCACTTGTACCATTGTGTAAGTCAATCAAGCATGTCTACTGGTACCATTGTGTAAGTCATGTCACTAGTACCATTGTGTCTGTCATGTCACTAGTACCATTGTGTAAGTCAGTCAAGCATGTCTACTGGTACCATCGTGTAAGTCATGTCACTAGTACCATTGTGTCCGTCATGTCACTAGTACCATTGTGTAAGTCAGTCAAGCATGTCTACTGGTACCATCGTGTAAGTCATGTCACTAGTACCATTGTGTAAGTCAGTCAAGCATGTCTACTGGTGCCATTGTGTAAGTCATGTCACTAGTACCATTGTGTAAGTCATGTCACTAGTACCATTGTGTCCATCATGTCACTAGTACCATTGTGTAAGTCAGTCAAGCATGTCTACTGGTGCCATCGTGGTAGTCATGTCACTTGTACCATTGTGTAAGTCAATCAAGCATGTCTACTGGTACCATTGTGTAAGTCATGTCACTAGTACCATTGTGTCTGTCATGTCACTAGTACCATTGTGTAAGTCAGTCAAGCATGTCTACTGGTGCCATCGTGATAGTCATGTCACTTGTGCCATTGTGTAAGTCAATCAAGCATGTCTACTGGTAACATCGTGTATGTCATGTCGCTAGTACCATTGTGTCTGTCATGTCACTAGTACCATTGTGTAAGTCAGTCAAGCATGTCTACTGGTGCCATCATGGTAGTCATGTCACTTGTACCATTGTGTAAGTCAAGCATGTCTACTGGTACCATTGTGTCCGTCATGTCACTAGTACCATGTTGTAAGTCATGTCACTAGTACATCATATTAGTCAAGATGTCTACTGTTACCATGGTGTAAGTCATGTCACTATTACCAGTCATGTTACTTGTACCATTGTGTAAATCAGTCAAGCATGTCTAATGGTACCATCATGTAAGTCCTGTCACTAGTACCATTGTGTTCATCATGTCACTAGTACCATGGTGTAAGTCATGTCACTAGTACCATTGTGTAAGTCAGTCAAGCATGTCTACTGGTACCATCGTGTAAGTCACGTCACTTGTACCATTGTTTAAGTCAGTCAAGCATGTCTACTGGTACCATTGTGTATGTCATGTCACTATTACCATGGTGTAAGTCATGTCACTATTACCATGGTGTAAGTCATGTCATTATATTTTTGAGTACGTAAAAATTGGATCAGATGTTCTAAATTAAAGTGTATTCTAAGTATCTAAATCAGTTAGACTGTCAGCGGTACGTATAACCAAGCTTAAGACCATCAGCAGTACTTATAACCAAGCTTAAGTCTGTCAGCAGTACTCATAACCAAGCTTAAAACTGTAAGCAGCACTTATAACCAAGTTTAAGACTGTCAGCAGTACTTATAACTAAGGTTAAGACTGTCAGCAGTACTTATAACCAAGCTTAAGACTGTCAGCAGTACTTATAACCAAGCTTAAGAATGTCAGCAGTACTTATAACCAAGCTTAAGACTGTCAGCAGTACTTATAACCAAGCTTAAGACTGTCAGCAGTACGTATAACCAAGCTTAAGACTGTCACCAATAATTATAACCAAGATTAAGGCTGTCAGCAGTAATTATAACCAAGCTTAAGACTGTCAGCAGTACTTACAGCTAAGCTTAAGACTGTCAGCAGCACTTATAACCAAGCTTAAGACTGTCAGCAGTACTTATAACCACGCTTACGACTGTCAGCAGTACTTATAACCAAGCTTAAGACTGTCAACAGTACTTATAACCTAGCTTTGGTCTGTCAGCAGTACTTATAACCAAGCTTAAGACTGTCAGCAGTACTTACAACCAAGCTTAAGACTGTCAGCAGTATTTATAACCAAGTGTAAGACTGTCAGCAGTACTTATAACAAAGCTTAAGACTGTCAGCAGTACTTATAACCAAATTTAAGACTGTCAGCAGTACTTATAACCAAACTTAAGACTGTCAGCAGCACTTATACCCAAGCTTAAGACTGTCAGCAGTACTTATAACCAAGCTTGTGACTGTCAGCAGTACTTATAACCAAGCTTAGGACTGTCAGCAGTACTTATAACCAAGCTTAAGACTGTCAGCAGTACTTATAACCAAGCTTAAAACTGTCAGCCGTAATTATAATCAAGCTTAAGACTGTCAGCAGTACTTATAACCAAGCTTAAGACTGTCAGCAGTACTTATAACCAAGCTTAGGTCTGTCAGCAGTACTTATAACCAAGCTTAGGTCTGTCAGCAGTGCTTATAACCAAGCTTACAACTGTCAGCAGTACTTATAACCAAGCTTAAGACTGTCAGCATTACTTATAACAAAGCTTAAGACTGTCAGCAGTACTTACAACCATTCTTAAGACTTTCAGCAATACTTATAACCAAGCTTAAGACTGTCAGCAGTACGTATAACCAAGCTTAAGACTGTCAGCAGTACTTATAACCAAGCTTAAGACTGTCAGCAGCACTTATAACCAAGCGTATGACTGTCAGCAGTAAATATAACAAAGCTTAAGACTGTCAGCAGTACTTATAACTAAGCTTAAGACTGTCAGCAGTACTTACAACAAGGCTTAAGACTGTCAGCAGTACTTATAACCAAGCTTAAGACTGTCAGCAGTACTTATAACCAAGCTTAAGACTGTCAGCAGTACTTATAACCAAGCTTAAGACTGTCAGCAGTACTTATAACCAAGCTTATGACTGTCAGCAGTACTTACAACGAAGCTTAAGACTGTCAGCAGTACTTACAACAAGGCTTAAGACTGTCAGCAGTACTTATAACCAAGCTTAAGACTGTCAGCAGTACTTATAACCAAGCTTAAGACTGTCAGCAGTACTTATAACCAAGCTTAAGACTGTCAGCAGTACTTATAACCAAGCTTATGACTGTCAGCAGTACTTACAACGAAGCTTAAGACTGTCAGCAGTACTTATAACCAAGCTTAAGACTGTCAGCAGTACTTATAACCAAGCTTAACACTGTCAGCAGTACTTATAACCAAGCTTAAGACTCTCAGCAGTACGTATAACGAAGTTTAAGACTGTCACCAATACTTATAACCAAGATTAAGGTTGTCAGCAGTAATTATAACCAAGCTTAAGACTGTCAGCAGTACTTACAGCTAAGCTTAAGACTGTCAGCAGTACTTATAACCAAGCTTAAGACTGTCAGCAGTACTTATAACCAAGCTTAAGTCTGTCAGCATTACTTATAACCAAGCTTAAGGCTGTCAGCAGTACTTATAATGAAGCTTAAGACTGTCAGCAGTACTTACAACCAAGATTAAGTCTGTCAGCAGTACTTATATTCAAGCTTAGGTCTGTCAGCAGTACTTATAACCAAGCTTATGACTGTCAGCAGTACTTACAACGAAGCTTAAGACTGTCAGCAGTACTTATAACCAAGCTTAAGACTGTCAGCAGTAGTTGCAACCAGGCTTAAGTCTGTCAGCAGTACTTATAACCAAGCTTAAGACTGTCAGCAGTATTTACAACCAGGCTTAAGACTGTCAGCAGTATTTATAACCAGACTTAAATCTGTCAGCAGTACTTATAACTAAGCTTAAGACTGTCAGCAGTACTTATAACCAAGCTTAACTCTGTCAGAAGTACTTATAACCAAGCTTAAGACTGTCTGCAATATTTACAACCAAGCTTAAGTCTGTCAGCAGAACTTATAACCAAGCTTAAGACTGTCAGCAATACTTATAACCAAGCTTAAGACTGTCAGCAGTATTTACAACAAAGCTTAAGACTGTCAGTAGTACTTATCACCAAACTTAAGACTGTCAGGAGTACTTATAACCAAACTTAAGACTGTCAGCAGTACTTATCACCAAGCTTAAGACTGTCAGCACTACTTATAGCTAAGCTTAAGACTCTACCACACCATTAGACTGTCAGATAGATAGATATGTATGTTATTATAGTGGTAATATACATGATAATAATGATTGTATTGTTTGATGCGAGGCAGGGGAGTCAGCTTGAAGGTAATGCATCAGCTGGGATCACCATGAATAACCTGAAGCTCAAGCTGAGAGATATACAACGTGATCAAGCTGGTCTATATTCCTGTGTTGCTTCGAACATTGTGGGTGACGGAGAGAGTGATCCACTGGTGCTACATGTTAAGTGTAAGTAGTAGTAGTAGTACTAGTACTAGTAGTAGTAGTATTAGTAGTAGTAGTAGTATTACTAGTAGTAGCTGTATATTTTGCCACCGAAGTGGCTAGTTTATTGTGCACCTCATATCCATCCTGTGGATGGTAGCACAAAAGCATATGGATACATAATAGGCCTAGGAACTAGGCCCCGAAAGGGTTAACAGGAGTACATCTGTATTTATATCTACAGTTCACTTAACGCTTTCTTGATAGTTGTGACAGGATCAACAGACATAACACCAGACACAAACATCTCTATGACATTCCCCGTGTCCGACTAAACCTTTACAGAAATTCAATGTATTTCAAAGGAACTAAAATCTGGAACACCCTACCTGAAAACTCTAGAACTGCAGGCACATTCATCACTTTCAAAACTACAGTTAGAAAAAATCTTATCTCCCTGATACACCCTGACAACTAACTACATAATAACCACCTGGTGGTTCACAATTACACTCACTCACCCACTGACTATAAACACAGAAATACTAATCTTAATCTTAAAATAATAAATCCTAACTAGTCATAAGTTTGCCTATGATACTCCAATATGGACACTTTGTATTGTGCCAAAACAAAAGCATTCACATTGCTAAACTCACAAATTATGATGTAGTCACTTAGCCTTAATACCATAATCTGTAAGGATTTAATGTTAAGAATTAATCTAAGTCTGCCCGAAATGCCTAGCCATGCTAAATGTCCTAGTGGCCCCCTCTGTAATTAGTATTTTATAACATGTAAACCACACAATATCCAAATCCTGTAAACCCCACATTGTAACCCTTATAGAGAATAAACTTGATTTGATTTGAATTGATTTGATCTGTTACAAGCAAATTTAGGAAATTTGCTTAATATGTCTGGTATCATATTTTTATTAATAAGACATCTTGACATGTCACATAGGTTATTATAGTGTCTATCTATCTATTCTTCAGTAAGTGGACAATTAAGCACATAGTGATCAAGACAGTGACCATAGGCCTGGCCACATGCTTTGCATTTGGTTTGATTATCATCTGTGTGTCTGTCAAACTGCCAGAAGTACTTGTAACCAAGCCTAAGCCTGGCCACTACAACATCAGTCAGTACTTGTAACCAAGCTTAAGCCTGGCCACTACAACATCAGTCAGTACTTGTAACCAAGCCTGAGCCTGCCCACTACAACATCAGTCAGTACTTGTAACCAAGCCTAAGCCTGGCCACTACAACATCAGTCAGTACTTGTAACCAACCCTAAGCCTGGCCACTACAACATCAGTCAGTACTTGTAACCAAGCCTAAGCCTGGCCACTACAACAACAGTCAGTACTTGAACCAAGCCTAACCTGGCCACTAAAAACATCAGTCAGTACTTGTAACCAACCCTAAGCCTGGCCACTACAACATCAGTCAGTACTTGTAACCAAGCCTAAGCCTGGCCACTACAACATCAGTCAGTACTTGTAACCAATCCATCGACCGACTTTTCCTGTTATTCCAAAATGCGCGCTAAAGGAATAACAGGAAAAGTCGGTCGATGGATCTATAATTTCCTCACTAACAGAACACAGAGAGTAGTTGTCAACAGAGTAAAGTCCGAGGCAGCTACGGTGAAAAGCTCTGTTCCACAAGGCACAGTACTAGCTCCCATCTTGTTCCTCATCCTCATATCCGACATAGACAAGGATGTCAGCCACAGCACCGTGTCTTCCTTTGCGGATGACACCCGAATCTGCATGACAGTGTCTTCCATTGCAGACACTGCAAGGCTCCAGGCGGACATCAACCAAATCTTTCAGTGGGCTGCAGAAAACAATATGAAGTTCAACGATGAGAAATTTCAATTACTCAGATATGGTAAACATGAGGAAATTAAATCTTCATCAGAGTACAAAAACAAATTCTGGCCACAAAATAGAGCGAAACACCAACGTCAAAGACCTGGGAGTGATTATGTCGGAGGATCTCACCTTCAAGGACCATAACATTGTATCAATCACATCTGCTAGAAAAATGACAGGATGGATAATGAGAACCTTCAAAACTGGGGAGGCCAAGCCCATGATGACACTCTTCAGGTCACTTGTTCTATCTAGGCTGGAATATTGCTGCACTCTAACAGCACCTTTCAAGGCAGGTGAAATTGCCGACCTAGAAAATGTACAGAGAACTTTCACGGCGCGCATAACGGAGATAAAACACCTCAATTACTGGGAGCGCTTGAGGTTTCTAAACCTGTATTCCCTGGAACGCAGGAGGGAGAGATACATGATTATATACACCTGGAAAATCCTAGAGGGACTAGTACCGAACTTGCACACGAAAATCACTCACTACGAAAGCAAAAGACGATGCACCATCCCCCCAATGAAAAGCAGGGGTGTCACTAGCACGTTAAGAGACCATACAATAAGTGTCAGGGGCCCGAGACTGTTCAACTGCCTCCCAGCACACATAAGGGGGATTACCAACAGACCCCTGGCAGTCTTCAAGCTGGCACTGGACAAGCACCTAAAGTCAGTTCCTGATCAGCCGGGCTGTGGCTCGTACGTTGGTTTGCGTGCAGCCAGCAGCAACAGCCTGGTTGATCAGGCGCTGATCCACCAGGAGGCCTGGTCACAGACCGGGCCGCGGGGGCGTTGACCCCCGAAACTCTCTCCAGGTAAACTCCAGGTAAGCCTGGCCACTACAACATCAGTCAGTACTTGTAACCAAGCCTAAGCCTGGCCACTACAACATCAGTCAGTACTTGTAACCAACCCTAAGCCTGGCCACTACAACATCAGTCAGTACTTGTAACCAAGCCTAAGCCTGGCCACTACAACATCAGTCAGTACTTGTAACCAACCCTAAGCCTGGCCAAGACAACATCAGTCAGTACTTGTAACCAAGCCTAAGCCTGGCCACTACAACATCAGTCAGTACTTGTAACCAAGCCTAAGCCTGGCCACTACAACATCAGTCAGTACTTGTAACCAAGCCTAAGCCTGGCCACTACAACATCAGTCAGTACTTGTAACCAAGCCTAAGCCTGGCCACTACAACATCAGTCAGTACTTGTAACCAAGCCTAAGCCAGGCCACTACAACATTAGTCAGGTCTTGTAACCAAGCCTAAGCCTGGCCACTACAACATCAGTCAGTACTTGTAACCAAGCCTAAGCCTGGCCACTACAACATCAGTCAGTACTTGTAACCAAGCCTAAGCCTGGACACTACAACATCAGTCAGTACTTGTAACCAAGCCTAAGCCTGGCCACTACAACATCAGTCAGTGTTCACATTGCACGTTGCTCCATAAACATACTAATCAGCCTTCATATTATTATAGTGGGTTATTAATCAACCTTCATGTTATTATAGTGGATTATAGATCTACTCAGACTTCTAATTGCATTCCTATAACATTTTCATTATTTACTTCTCTCCTAATATTATTCCTAATGCTAGACACACATTCTACAGTATCCTTCAGGGTAATTTTCTTGGCTAACATAACTTTATCATGTAGTAGTAGTAGTAATAGTAGTAGTGGCATGATGGAATCCATAACAATTGTACATCCATTCCTTTTACCCAGATTTTTGAGTATTCATACCTGGCTTGTGGAGTGATCATGTTAGTCAATGTTGTGAGTCTAGAGCCTTCAGTGATGGTGTATAAATATACTTGGGTGGATGAGTCTTATTGTAGCCAGCTAGCCCATTGGCTTACACACTGAGCTGGCATTTTACCATACACTTGCTGCTAGTTCAAGCCCCACCCATACGATGGTGTGTTTAGAGTCAGTAGTGATCATAGAGTCAGGCTCTGTGTTGTTAGGATGACAAGCAATTCATGACTAGGTGTTAATGCTTATCCCTAATTCAACAAAGTTGCTATCATTCTTAACTAGGCAGTTAGCAACAAGAGCAGATGTAGCCCTGCTAGTAGATTCCCACTGGAGGTAGCAACAAGAGCAGATGTAGCCCTGTTAGTAGACTCCCACTGGAGGTAGCAACAAGAGCAGATGTAGCCCTGTTAGTAGACTCCCACTGGAGGTAGCAACAAGAGCAGATGTAGCCCTGCTAGTAGACTCTCACTGGAGGTAACAACAAGAGCAGATGTAGCCCTGCTAGCAGACTCCCACTGAAGGTAGTAACAAGAGCAGATGTAGCCCCACTAGTAGACTCCTCTTGGATCCATTACTGTCTAGAACTGGTGAGAAATTATCACTAGTAGTAGGCCAGAGATTTTGTCCTGAGCAGTTGCTTTTACAAGTTATTTAAGGAAGGGCTTACAAATGATAATCTCCTTGGGAGGAGCCTGCACATATGTGATATTAAGCGATCGCAGCTTCCATGGAGGGGTGAAATGTGCCTCCATGGAGGGGTGAAATGTGCCTCCATGGAGGGGTGAAATGTGCCTCCATGGAGGGGTGAAATGTTTTTACAACCCATTTTGATGTGTGTGCATTTGTAGATAGTAACATTCCTAGTGACACTGAGATGTGCGTAGTGATCAAAATGGAGTGTACACTTGTTCCTATCATCAACCTATAGTGGTGAACCTCAGTCTGTAGTAGTAGTAGTAATAGTGGCAGTAGCAGTAGTAATAGTAGCAGTAGTACCAACAGTAGTAGTAGTAGTAATAGTAGTAGCAGTAGTAATAGTAGCAGTAGTAGTAGGTAGCAGTAGTACCAACAGTAGTAGTAGTAGTAATAGCAGTAGTAGTAGCAGTATTAGTAGTAATAGTAGTAGCACTAGTAGCAGTAGTAGTAGTAATTATAGTAGTAGTAGCAGCAGCAGTAGTAGCAGTAGTAGTAGCACTAGTAGCAGTAGTAGTAGCAGTAGTAGTAGCAGTAGTAGTAGCAGTAGTAGTAGTAATAGTAGTAGTAGCAGTAATAGTAGTAGTAGCAGTAGTAGCAGTAGCTGCAGTAGTAGTAGTGATTATAGTAGTACTAGCAGTAGTAGCAGTAGTAGAAGTAATAGTAATAGTAGTAGTAGCAGTAGCAGCAGTAGTAGCAGTAGTAGTAGTAATAGTAATAGTAGTAGTAGTAGCAGTAGTAGCAGTAGTAGTAGTAATTATAGTAGTAGCAGTAGTAGTAGTAATAGTAGTAGCAGCAGTAGTAGCAGCATTGTAGTAATTGTAGTAGTAGTAGTAGTAGTAGTAGTAGCAAGAAAGCAGCATTAGTAGTAGTAGTAGTAGTAGTAGTAGTAATTGTAGTAGTAGCAGTAGTAGTGGTAATAGTAGTAGTAGTAGTAGCAGTAGCAGCAGTAGTAGTAGTAATAGTAGTAGTAGCAGTAGTAGTAATAGTAGTAGTAACAGTAGTAATAGTAGTAGCAGTAGTAGCAGCAGTAGTAGTAGTAATAGTAGTAGTAACAGTAGTAATAGTAATAGTAATAGTAATACTAGTAGTAGTAGCAGTAGTAGTAATAGTAGTAGTAGTAGTAGTAGTAGTAGTAGTAACAGTAGTAGTAGTCAACACTATTATATAGTAGTAACTACTATTATAGAAACTACTTTCATAAATTACTCAGATAGTAACTGGTATTACTCACATATAACTACTATCAAAGTAACTGGTATTAATCACATAGTAACTACTATCAGAGTAACTGGTATTAATCACATAGTAACTACTATCAAAGTAACTGCTATTAATCACATATAACTAATATCAGAGTAACTGGTATTAATCACATATAACTACTATCAGAGTAACTGGTATTAATCACATATAACTACTATCAGAGTAACTGGTATTAATCACATAGTAACTACTATCAGAGTAACTGGTATTAATCACATATAACTACTATCAGAGTAACTGGTATTAATCACATAGTAACTACTATCAGAGTAACTGGTATTAATCACATAGTAACTACTATCAGAGTAACTGGTATTAATCACATATAACTACTATCAAAGTAACTGGTATTAATCACATATAACTACTATCAGAGTAACTGGTATTAATCACATATAACTACTATCAGAGTAACTGGTATTAATCACATATAACTACTATCAGAGTAACTGGTATTAATCACATATAACTACTATCAGAGTAACTGGTATTAATCACATATAACAACTATCAAAGTAACTGGTATTAATGACCTACTCTTCACAGATGTACCAGTCTGCTCCAGTACCTTGGATCAAGTACTTGGAGCGGCCAAGGAGGACCAGGTGGAGCTGGTGTGTCGGGTCGATGCCTCGCCGGATCGGGTCACCTTCCGCTGGTATTTCCGGACCCCTGAGCAACTGGTGGCCCTGGACCCCAAGCTCTCCACGGCCCAGGACCGTTCTTCTGTGCTCAACTACCGGGTTGTTAAGGATGACGACTATGGCGAGGTGTTGTGTTTCGCCGCTAATGACCTGGGCGAGCAGTCTGTCCCATGTAGTTTTAGCGTCGTTCCCACCAGGGAACCTGACGCCCCAGAGAACTGCACCTTGACCAATCAGACTACTGACACACTGGTCGTCCAGTGTCGTCCTGGCTATGATGGCGGACTCAAGCAGCGCTTCATCTTGGAAGTCTTTGAATCGGTTGAATCAGCCGAATCAGTGGAGTCGTATGGGGATTCCGAGGGTGATTCACGAGGAGTTGTTACGAATGTGACGGTGGGAGAAGTGCCGGTGTTCGCCGTGGACGACCTGCAGCCCGGCACATCATACTTCCTGGTAGTTTATGCTCTTAACGACCAGGGCGCCAGCAGGAGACGACACCTGCATAGTTTTACACTGCCTACAGTGCCAGACCACAGGACCAGTAAGTGGCAGTGTGTACACTGCTGGTGTATACTACTGGTATACACTGATGGTGTACACTGCTGGTGTACACTGCTAGCATACACTGCTCTGTACACTGCTGGCTTACACTGCTGATGTACACTGCTGTGTACAGTGATGGTGTACACTGCTGTGTACACTGCTGATGTACACTATGTACACTTCTCATGCACACTGTACACTGTCTTCTAGCTGTCAGTCTTGTGATGTAGTAACTGTCAGTCTTGTGGAATAGTAGCTGTCAGTCTTGTGGTGTAGTAGCTGTCAGTCTTGTGGTGTAGTAGCTGTCAGTCTGGTGTAATAGCTGTCAGTCTTGTGGTGTGTAGTAGCTGTCAGTCTTGTGGTGTGTAGTAGCTGTCAGTCTTATGGTGTAGTAGTTGTTGCTACCCTGGTCCACTCTCGTTGCTTCAATGGTCCACCCTTGTTGCTACCCTGGTCCACTCTTGTTGCTACCCTGGTCCACTCTTGTTGCTACCCTGTTCCACTCTTGTTGCTACCCTAGTCCACTCATGTTGCTACCCTGGTCCACTCATATTGCTACCCTGGTCCACTCATGTTGCTACCCTGGTTCACTCTTGTTGCTTCAATGGTCCACCCTTGTTGCTACCCTGGTCCACTCTTGTTGCTACCCTGGTCCACTCATGTTGCTACACTGGTCCACTCTTGTTACTACCCTAGTCCACTCATGTTGCTACCCTGGACCACTCATGTTGCTACCTTGGTCCACCCTTGTTGCTACCCTGGTCCACTCTTGTTGCTACCCTGGTCCACTCTTGTTGCTACCCTTGTCCACCATTGTTGCTACCCTTGTCCACCATTGTTGCTACCCTGGTCCACCCTTGTTGCTACCCTGGTCCACCCTTGTTGCTAACCTGGTCCACCCTTGTTGCTACCCTGGTCCACCCTTGTTGCTACCCTTGTCCACCATTGTTGCTGCCCTGGTCCACCCTTGTTGCTACCCTGGTCCACTGTTGTTGCTACCCTGGTCCACCCTTGTTGCTACCCTGGTCCACCCTTGTTGCTACCCTGGTCCACCCTTGTTGCTACCATGGTCCACCCTTGTTGCTACCCTGGTCCACCCTTGTTGCTACCTGGTCCACCTTGTTGCTACCCTGGTCCACCCTTGTTGCTACCCTAGTCCACCCTTGTTGCTACCCTGGTCCACCCTTGTTGCTACCCTGGTCCACCCTTGTTGCTACCCTGGTCCACTCTTGTTGCTACCCTGGTCCACCCTTGTTGCTACCCTGGTCCACCCTTGTTGCTACCCTGGTCCACCCTTGTTGCTACCATGGTCCACCCTTGTTGCTACCCTGGTCCACCCTTGTTGCTACCCTGGTCCACCCTTGTTGCTACCCTGGTCCACCCTTGTTGCTACCCTAGTCCACCCTTGTTGCTACCCTGGTCCACCCTTGTTGCTACCCTGGTCCACCCTTGTTGCTACCCTGGTCCACTCTTGTTGCTACCCTGGTCCACCCTTGTTGCTACCCTGGTCCACCCTTGTTGCTACCCTGGTCCACCCTTGTTGCTACCCTGGTCCATCCTTGTTGCTACCCTGGTCCACCCTTGTTCCTAACCTGGTCCACCCTTGTTGCTACCCTGGTCCACTGTTGTTGCTACCCTGGTCCACTGTTGTTGCTATCCTGGTTCACTGTTGTTGCTTCCCTGGTTCACTGTTGTTGCTACCCTGGTTCACAGTTGTTGCTACCCTGGTCCACTGTTGTTGCTACCCTGGTTCACTGTTGTTGCTACCCTGGTTCACTGTTGTTGCTACCCTGGTTCACTGTTGTTGCTACCCTGGTTCACTGTTGTTGCTACCCAGGTCCACTGTTGTTGCTACCCTGGTCCACTGTTGTTGCTACCCTGGTTCACTGTTGTTGCTACCCTGGTTCACTGTTGTTGCTACCCTGGTTCACTGTTGTTGCTACCCTGGTTCACTGTTGTTGCTACCCTGGTTCACTGTTGTTGCTACCCTGGTCCACTGTTGTTGCTACCCTGGTCCACTGTTGTTGCTACCCTGGTTCACTGTTGTTGCTACCCTGGTCCACTGTTGTTGCTACCTTGGTTCACTGTTGTTGCTACCCTGGTTCACTGTTGTTGCTACCGTGGTTCACTGTTGTTGCTACCCTGGTCCACTGTTGTTGCTAACCTGGTTCACTGTTGTTGCTAACCTGGTTCACTGTTGTTGCTACCCTGGTCCACTGTTGTTGCTACCCTGGTCCACTGTTGTTGCTACCCTGGTTCACTGTTGTTGCTACCCTGGTCCACTGTTGTTGCTAACCTGGTTCACTGTTGTTGCTACCCTGGTTCACTGTTGTTGGTACCCTGGTTCACTGTTGTTGCTACCCTGGTTCACTGTTGTTGCTACCCTGGTTTACTGTTGTTGCTACTCTGGTTCACTGTTGTTGCTTCCCTGGTTCACTGTTGTTGCTACCTTGGTTCACTGTTGTTGCTACCCTGGTCCACTGTTGTTGCTACCCTGGTTCACTGTTGTTGCTAACCTGGTCCACTGTTGTTGCTACCCTGGTTCACTGTTGTTGCTACCCTGGTTCACTGTTGTTGGTACCCTGGTCCATTGTTGTTGCTACCCTGGTTCACTGTTGTTGCTACCCTGGTTCACTGTTGTTGCTTCCCTGGTTCACTGTTGTTGCTACCCTGGTTCACTGTTGTTGCTTCCCTGGTTCACTGTTGTTGCTACCCTGGTTCACTGTTGATATATAATGTAATTGGCTGTTATATGTATTCTCTATAATTTTTTATGCCATGCTGTATATGTATACCTGGGGCCATGCTGTATATGTATACCTGGGGCCATGCTGTATATGTATACCTGGGGCCATGTTGTATATGTATACCTGGGGCCATGCTGTATATGTATACCTGGGGCCATGCTGTATATGTATACCTGGGGCCATGCTGTATATGTATACCTGGGGCCATGTTGTATATGTATACCTGTGGCCATGCTGTATATGTATACCTGGGGCCATGCTGTATATGTATGCCTAGGGCCATGCTGTATATGTATACCTAGGGCCATGTTGTATATGTATACCTGGGGTCATGTTGTATATGTATACCTGGGGCCATGTTTTATATGTATACCTGGGGCCATGCTGTACATTTATACCTGGGGCCATGTTGTATATGTATACCTGGGGCCATGTTGTATATGTATACCTGGCACCATGCTGTATTTGTATACCTGGGGCCATGCTGTATATGTATACCTGGGGCCATGCTGTACATTTATACCTGGGGCCATGTTGTATATGTATACCTGGGGCCATGTTGTATATGCATACCTGGGGCCATGCTGTGTATGTATACCTGGGGCCATGTTGTATATGTATACCTGGGGCCATGCTGTATATGTATACCTGGGGCCATGTTGTATATGTATACCTGGGGCCATGTTGTATATGTATACCTGGGGCCATGCTGTATATGTATACCTGGGGCCATGTTGTATATGTATACCTGGGGCCATGCTGTATATGTATACCTGGGGCCATGCTGTATATGTATACCTGGGACCATGCTGTATATGTATACCTGGGACCATGCTGTGTATATATATACCTGGGGCCATTCTGTATATGTATACCTGGGGCCATGCTGTATATGTATACCTGGGGCCATGCTGTGTATATATATACCTGGGGCCATGCTGTATATGTATACCTGGGGCCATGCTGTGTATATATATACCTGGGGCCATGCTGTATATGTATACCTTGGGCTATGCTGTTTATGTATACCTGGGGTCATGTTGTATATGTATACCTGGGGCCATGTTGTATGTGTATACCTGGGGCCATGCTGTATATGTATACCTGGGGCCATGCTGTATATGTATACCTGGGCCATGCTGTGTATATATATACCTGGGGCCATGCTGTATATGTATACCTGGGGCCATGCTCTATATGTATACCTGGGGCCATGCTTTATATGTATAACTGGGGCCATGCTGTGTATATATGTACCTGGGGCCATGCTGTATATGTATACCTGGGGCCATGCTGTATATGTATACTTGGGGCCATGTTGTATATGTATACCTGGGGCCATGCTGTATATGTATACCTGGGGCCATGCTGTATATGTATACCTGGGACCATGTTGTATATGTATACCTGGGGCCATGCTGTATGTGTATACCTTTGGCCATGCTGTACATTTATACCTGGGGCCATGCTGTATATGTATACCTGGGGGTATGCTGTATATGTATACTTGGGACCATGTTGTATATGTATACCTGGGGCCATGTTGTATATGTATACCTGGGGCCATGCTGTATATGTATACCTGGGGCCATGTTATATATGTATACCTGGGGCCATGCTGTATATGTATACCTGGGGCCATGTTGTATATGTATACCTGGGGCCATGCTGTATATGTATACCTGGGGCCATGTTGTATATGTATACCTGGGACCATGTTGTATATGTATACCTGGGGCCATGCTGTATATGTATACCTTTGGCCATGCTGTACATTTATACCTGGGGCCATGCTGTATATGTATACCTGGGGGTATGCTGTATATGTATACTTGGGACCATGTTGTATATGTATACCTGGGGCCATTTTGTATATGTATACCTGGGGCCATGCTGTATATGTATACCTGGGGCCATGTTGTATATGTATACCTGGGGCCATGCTGTATATGTATACCTGGGGCCATCTTGTATATGTATACCTGGGGCCATGCTGTATATGTATACCTGGGGCCATGTTGTATATGTATACCTGGGGCCATGCTGTATATGTATACCTGGGGTCATGTTGTATATGTATACCTGGGGCCATGCTGTATATCTATACCTGGGGTCATGTTGTATATGTATACCTGGGGCCATGCTGTATATGTATACCTGGGGCCATGCTGTATATGTATACCTGGGGTCATGTTGTATATGTATACCTGGGGCCATGCTGTATATGTATACCTGGGGCCATGCTGTATATGTATACCTGGGGCCATGCTGTATATGTATACCTGGGGCCATGCTGTATATGTATACCTGGGACCATGCTGTGTATATATATACCTGGGGCCATGCTGTATATGTATACCTGGGGCCATGCTGTGTATATATATACCTGGGGCCATGCTGTATATGTATGCCTGGGGCCATGCTGTATATGTATACCTAGGGCCATGTTGTATATGTATACATGGGGCCATGCTGTATATGTATACTTGGGACCATGTTTTATATGTATACCTGTGGCCATGTTGTATATGTATACCTGGGGCCATGTTGTATATGTATACCTGGGGCCATGTTGTATATGTATACCTGGGGCCATGTTGTATATGTATACCTGGGGCCATGCTGTACATTTATGCCTGGGGCCATGTATATGTATACCTTGGGCCATGCTGTATATGTATACCTGGGGGCCATGCTGTATATGTGTACCTGGGGCCATGCTGTATATGTATACCTGGGGCCATGCTGTACATTTATACCTGGGGCCATGTTGTATATGTATACCTGGGGCCATGCTGTATATGTATACCTGGGGCCATGCTGTACATTTATACCTGGGGCCATGTTGTATATGTATACCTGGGGCCATGCTGTATATGTATACCTGGGGTCATGTTGTATATGTATACCTGGGGCCATGCTGTATATGTATACCTGGGGCCATGTTGTATATGTATACCTGGGGCCATGCTGTATATGTATACCTGGGGCCATGCTGTATATGTATACCTGGGGCCATGTTGTATATGTATACCTGGGGCCATGCTGTATATGTATACCTGGGGCAATGCTGTATATGTATACCTGGGGCCATGCTGTATATGTATACCTGGGACCATGCTGTGTATATATATTCCTGGGGCCATGCTCTATATGTATACCTGTTGCCATGCTGTATATGTATACCTGGGGCCATGCTGTGTATATATATACCTGGGGCCATGCTGTATATGTATACCTGGGGCCATGCTGTGTATATATATACCTGGGGCCATGCTGTATATGTATACCTTGGGCTATGCTGTTTATGTATACCTGGGGTCATGTTGTATATGTATACCTGGGGCCATGTTGTATGTGTATACCTGGGGCCATGCTGTATATGTATACCTGGGGCATGCTGTATATGTATACCTGGGGCCATGCTGTGTATATATACCTGGGGCCATGCTGTATATGTATACCTTGGGCCATGCTGCATATGTATACCTGGGGCCATGCTGTATATGTATACCTGGGGCCATTCTGTGTATATATATACCTGGGGCCATGTTGTTTATGTATACCTGGGGCCATGCTGTATATGTATACCTGGGGCCATGTTGTATATGTATACCTGGGGCCATGCTGTATATGTATACCTGGGGCCATGTTTTATATGTATACCTGGGGCCATGCTGTATATGTATACCTGAGGCCATGCTATATATGTATACCTGTGGCCATGTTGTATATGTATACCTGGGGCCATGTTGTATATGTATACCTGGGGCCATGTTGTATATGTATACCTGGGGCCATGTTGTATATGTATACCTGGGGCCATGCTGTACATTTATGCCTGGGGCCATGTATATGTATACCTTGGGCCATGCTGTATATGTATACCTGGGGGCCATGCTGTATATGTGTACCTGGGGCCATGCTATATATGTATACCTGGGGCCATGCTGTACATTTATACCTGGGGCCATGTTGTATATGTATACCTGGGGCCATGCTGTATATTTATACCTGGGGTCATGTTGTATATGTATACCTGGGGCCATGCTGTATATGTATACCTGGGGCCATGTTGTATATGTATACCTGGGGCCATGCTGTATATGTATACCTGGGGCCATGCTGTATATGTATACCTGGGGCCATGTTGTATATGTATACCTGGGGCCATGCTGTATATGTATACCTGGGCAATGCTGTATATGTATACCTGGGGCCATGCTGTATATGTATACCTGGGACCATGCTGTGTATATATATTCCTGGGGCCATGCTCTATATGTATACCTGGGGCCATGCTGTATATGTATACCTGGGGCCATGCTGTGTATATATACCTGGGGCCATGCTGTATATGTATACCTGGGGCCATGCTGTGTATATATATACCTGGGGCCATGCTGTATATGTATACCTTGGGCTATGCTGTTTATGTATACCTGGGGTCATGTTGTATATGTATACCTGGGGCCATGTTGTATGTGTATACCTGGGGCCATGCTGTATATGTATACCTGGGGCCATGCTGTATATGTATACCTGGGGCCATGCTGTGTATATATATACCTGGGGCCATGCTGTATATGTATACCTTGGGCCATGCTGCATATGTATACCTGGGGCCATGCTGTATATGTATACCTGGGGCCATGCTGTATATGTATACCTGGGGCCATTCTGTGTATATATATACCTGGGGCCATGTTGTATATGTATACCTGGGGCCATGCTGTATATGTATACCTGGGGCCATGTTGTATATGTATACCTGGGGCCATGGTGTATATGTATACCTGGGGCGATGCTGTATATGTATACCTGGGGCCATGCTGTATATGTGTACCAGGGGCCATGTTTTATATGTATACCTGGGGCCATGCTGTATATGTATACCTGGGGCCATGTTTTATATGTATACCTGGGGCCATGCTGTATATGTATACCTGAGGCCATGCTGTATATGTATACCTGGGGCCATGCTGTGTATATATATACCTGGGGTCATGCTGTATGTGTATACCTGGGGCCATGCTGTATATGTATACCTGGGGCCATGCTGTATATGTATACCTGGGGCCATGCTGTATATGTATACCTGGGGCCATGCTGTATATGTATACCTGGGGCCATGCTGTGTATATATATACCTGGGGCCATGCTGTATATGTATACCTGGGGCCATGCTGTATATGTATACCTGGGGCCATGTTGTATATGTATACCTGGGGTCATGTTGTATATGTATACCTGGGGCTATGTTGTATATGTATACCTGGGGCCATGTTGTATATGTATACCTGGGGCCATGTTGTATATGTATACATAGAATGTATGTATTATTATACTGTAGTCTAACAGTGGAGTAGATGAAGTCTTAATGACCCTCGTCTGGTAGATAGACTTGAAACTCTCCATTAACCCCCTTATTATCTTGCCATTAATAAGGTATTAACTGATTATTAACCAGATATTAACCAGGTATTAACCATGTATCAACCAGGTATTAACTAGATATTAACCAGGTATTAACCATGTATTAACTAGGTATTAACTAGGTATTAACCAGGTGTTAACCAGGTATTAACCAGATATTAATCAGATATTAATCACTTATTAACCGGATATTAACCACTTATTAACCAGATATTAACCAGGTATTTACCAGATATTAACCAGATATTAACCCCTTATTAACCAGATATTAACACCTCCACAGGGCTGTATCCAACCCACATCTTCCCTATAACACCCATCCTGGGTGTGTTGATTGGTGTGGTTGGTGGGTTGGTTGTGGTTGCTGTGGTTGTTGTGGTGGTGATGAAGCTGAGGGGGGAGTCTAGGAGAGCCAAGGTTCTTAACCAGGGTCCTGCTGGCCTCAAGCTCCCAGTACCTAGGCCTACAACACTACAGCAACACGTCAAGGAGGCTGGAGGAGCAAATTCTGGCCCTGACCTGATACTTTGTAGACCTGGTAAGTGACCTTAGTCTAGCACTGTCCCTAGTCCCTAGTCTAGCACTGTCCCTAATCTAGCACTGTTCCTAGTCCCTAGTCTAGCACTGTCCCTATTCCATAGTCTAGCACTGACCCTAGTCCTTAGTCTAGCACTGTCCCTATTCCGTAGCCTAGCACTGACCCTAGTCTAGCACTGACCCTAGTCTAGCACTGATGCTAGTCTAGCACTGTTCGTAGTCTAGTAGCACTGTCCCTAGTCTAGCACTGTCCCTAGTCTAGTACTGTCTCTAGTCTAGAAGTATATCAGGTGTCTACTATAGTAATGCATTATTTTTGCTGCTTTTAACAACATTCTGATATACGGGACTTCCGCTTATTAGTCCCATATAACAAGTCAACCACAGACAGTGTTATTCTGATACAAGGTACACTTGGTTAGTTATAACAGCCCAACCACAAATGGACCTCACTGAGAAATGACTTACATCATAAAACGCTGGTAAATCAACCAGTGAGAGCGAGGGACTTAAACCAGCTGGTCAGGTTGTTAGCACACTGGCCTCTGAGTGTTACCATGCACTGTAGGTTCATATCCTGCCCCGGTCCGTGGTCTCTGAGAGCAGGACGTTTTATCTTACTGTTGGAACACTCACTGTGAGGCTGAGTGGACAGTGTTGTAGCTAGTGTGTCTTACTGCCATGGTTCAAGTCTCCCTCCAGTCATTATTAAGCCTGGTTAAGGTCTCTAACAGTGTTACTGAACCTTGTACCATGGTTCAAGTCTCCCTCCAGTCATTATTAAGCCTGGTTAAGGTCTCTAACAGTGTTACTGAACCTTGTACCATGGTTCAAGTCTCCCTCCAGTCATTATTAAGCCTGGTTAAGGTCTCTAACAGTGTTACTGATCCTTGTACCATGGTTCAAGTCTCCCTCCAGTCATTATTAACCCCTAAACGTTCCAAGCGTATACATGTATATACATTCTCTCCCTCAGTGCCCCGAATATTTTGAAAAATAATTTTTTTTTTCATTGAAATAAAGAGAAAAAAATTTAAGTGTTATAGGATTAAAATATAATTTTTATGTTCTGATAACGACAATTTATTGTAGTTCTTGTCATTTCATAACCAGTTTTTGTTCTGACACTAATAGTAGGTACTGAAATTGTACTCAAGTTGTCACAAACACATTGACAGGTCGACATTTACACCTGCCTTGGTCATTTACTATTGTCTAGGATTATATACAAGTACAGTGAACCCCCGGTTAACGATGTTATTTCATTCCAGAAGTATGTTCAGGTGCCATTACTGAACGAATTTGTTCTCATAAGGAATATTGTGAATTAGATTAGTCCATTTCAGACCCACAAACATACACGTACAAACGCACTTACATAAATACACTTACATAACTGGTCGCATTAAGAGGTGATCGTAAACTGGGGGTCCACTGTATTTATAGGTCCCAGCAATGTTTTTTATACACAGGAGAATAGAAGAAGGAGAAGGGAGAAGGAAGAAGTATAATTGTATTTGTGTGTACTTGTGAGACAGATAAAAAGAGATAGAGACAGACAGAGATGAGACAGATAGAGAGACAGAGACAGACATAGACAGACAGAGATATGCAGACCTTGAACTTGGGGCTAACATCACTTTCCTCTTAAAAAGGAGTGTTAATATGACATTACATCAGTGAATCCTTGGTGTTTGCCGCACTGTTTGCTCTAGCTGGCGCTCAGTTTAACTGGTGCTCCCACAAGGTACTGAGTGGTCCCAGATTTTTTAATATGGTGCACACCGAGTGTTAAGACCCATTCTATGCTGACCAGGCATCTCGGGCCAATCATGCCAGATTTGGAGGCAGGAAAATTAAAACGTATATATACATTTGGGGCGCTAGCGGTAAGAACGTATATATACGTTTGGACCGTTTAGGGGTTAAGCCTGGTTAAGATCTCTAACAGTGTTCCTGAACCTTATACCATGGTTCAAGTCTCTCTCCATTCATTCATTCTTTCATTCAAGTTTATTCTCTATAAGGGTTACAATGTGGGGTTTACAGTGTGCTCGAAATGCCTAGCATGGCTAGGCATTTCGAGCAGACTTAGATTAATTCTTAGCATTAAATCCTTACAGATTATGGTATTAAGGCTAAGTGAGTACATCATAATTTGTGAGTTTAGCATTATATATACAGTTTAGATGTTAATAGAGGTGGTATTGTGACCTGTGTACTTGTGTCTTTGACTCTTCTGGCAGTAGAATCTTCGTACGAGGACGTAGAGGATATACCACACAAGCTGAAGCATGCGAATATCTACCAGAGTCTCCCTTACAACACTAACCTGCCTCCTAGCAACACTAATTCTGAGGTAACTTGTCTTCTGTGTTGTATGTGTGTTGTGTGGTGCGTATGTGTTGTGTTGTGTGTGTGTGTGTGTGTGTGTGTGTGTGTGTGTGTGTGTGTGTGTGTGTGTGTGTGTGTGTGTGTGCGTGTGTGTGTGTGTGTGTGTGTACTCACCTAGTTGTACTCACCTAGTTGAGGTTGCGGGGGTCGAGTCCGAGCTCCTGGCCCCGCCTCTTCACTGATCGCTACTAGGTCACTCTCCCTGAGCCGTGAGCTTTATCATACCTTTGCTTAAAGCTATGTATGGATCCTGCCTCCACTACATCGCTTCCCAAACTATTCCACTTACTGACTACTCTGTGGCTGAAGAAATACTTCCTAACATCCCTGTGATTCATCTGTGTCTTCAGCTTCCAACTGTGTCCCCTTGTTGCTGTGTCCAATCTCTGGAACATCCTGTCTTTGTCCACCTTGTCAATTCCTCTCAGTATTTTGTATGTCGTTATCATGTCCCCCCTATCTCTCCTGTCCTCCAGTGTCGTCAGGTTGATTTCCCTTAACCTCTCCTCATAGGACATACCTCTTAGCTCTGGGACTAGTCTTGTTGCAAACCTTTGCACTTTCTCTAGTTTCTTCACGTGTTTGGCTAGGTGTGGGTTCCAAACTTGTGCCGCATACTCCAATATGGGCCTAACGTACACGGTGTACAGGGTCCTGAATGATTCCTTATTAAGATGTCGGAATGCTGTTCTAAGGTTTGCTAGGCGCCCATATGCTGCAGCAGTTATTTGGTTGATGTGCGCTTTAGGAGATGTGCCTGGTGTTATACTCACCCCAAGATCTTTTTCCTTGAGTGAGGTTTGTAGTCTCTGGCCCCCTAGACTGTACTCCGTCTGCGGTCTTCTTTGCCCTTCCCCAATCTTCATGACTTTGCACTTGGTGGGATTGAACTCCAGGAGCCAATTGCTGGACCAGGTCTGCAGCCTGTCCAGATCCCTTTGTAGTTCTGCCTGGTCTTCGATCGAGTGAATTCTTCTCATCAACTTCATGTCATCTGCAAACAGGGACACCTCAGAGTCTATTCCTTCCATCATGTCGTTCACAAATACCAGAAACAGCACTGGTCCTAGGACTGACCCCTGCGGGACCCCGCTGGTCACAGGTGCCCACTCTGACACCTCGCCACGTACCATGACTCGCTGCTGTCTTCCTGACAAGTATTCCCTGATCCATTGTAGTGCCTTCCCTGTTATCCCTGCTTGGTCCTCCAGTTTTTGCACCAATCTCTTGTGTGAAACTGTGTCAAACGCTTTCTTGCAGTCCAAGAAAATACAATCCACCCACCCCTCTCTCTCTTGTCTTACTGCTGTCACCATGTCATAGAACTCCAGTAGGTTTGTGACACAGGATTTCCCGTCCCTGAAACCATGTTGGCTGCTGTTGATTAGATCGTTCCTTTCTAGGTGTTCCACCACTCTTCTCCTGATAATCTTCTCCATGATTTTGCATACTATACATGTCAGTGACACTGGTCTGTAGTTTAATGCTTCATGTCTGTCTCCTTTTCTAAAGATTGGGACTGCATTTGCTGTCTTCCATGCCTCAGGCAATCTCCCTGTTTCGATAGATGTATTGAATATTGTTGTTAGGGGTACACATAGTGCCTCTGCTCCCTCTCTCAATACCCATGGGGAGATGTTATCTGGCCCCATTGCCTTTGAGGTATCTAGCTCACTCAGAAGCCTCTTCACTTCTTCCTCGGTTGTGTGCACTGTGTCCAGCACATGGTGGTGTGCCCCACCTCTCCGTCTTTCTGGAGCTCCTTCCGTCTCCTCTGTGAACACTTCTTTGAATCTCTTGTTGAGTTCTTCACATACTTCACGGTCATTTCTTGTTGTCTCTCCTCCTTCCTTCCTTAGCCTGATTACCTGGTCCTTGACTGTTGTTTTCCTCCTGATGTGGGTCAGATTTGGCTTTAGCTGCTATATCATTTTCATATTGTCTTTGGGCCTCCCTTCTTATCTGTGCATATTCGTTTCTGGCTCTACGACTGTTCTCCTTATTCTCCTGGGTCCTTTGCCTTCTATATTTCTTCCATTCCCTAGCACACTTGGTTTTTGCCTCCCTGCACCTTTGGGTAAACCATGGGCTCATCCTGGCTTTTTCATTATTCCTGTTACCCTTGGGTACAAACCTCTCCTCAGCCTCCTTGCATTTTGTTGCTACATATTCCATCATCTCATTAACTGGCTTCCCTGCCAGTTCTCTGTCCCACTGAACCCCGTTCAGGTAGTTCCTCATTCCTGTGTAGTCCCCTTTCTTGTAGTTTGGCTTCATTCATCCTGGCCTTCCTGCTTCTCCCTCCACTTGTAGCTCTACTGTGTATTCGAAGCTTAAAACCACATGGTCACTGGCCCCAAGGGGTCTTTCATATGTGATGTCCTCGATATCTGCACTACTCAAGGTGAATACTAAGTCCAGCCTTGCTGGTTCATCCTCTCCTCTCTCTCTTGTAGTGTCCCTTACGTGTTGGCACATGAAGTTTTCCAGTACCATGTGTGTGTGTGTGTGTGTGTGTGTGTGTGTGTGTGTGTGTGTGTATCTGTCTGTCTGTGTGTCTGTGTGTCTGTATGTCTGTCTGTCTGTGTGTTGTGTGTGTATATGTGTGTTGTACTCACCTATTTGTGGTTGCAGGGGTCGATTCATAGCTCCTGGCCCTGCCTCTTCACTGATTGCTACTAGGTCCTTTTTCTCCCTGCTCCATGAGCTTAATCGTACCTCATCTTAAAACTATGTATGGTTCCCGCCTCCACTACGCCACTTTCTAGGCTATTCCACTGCCTGACAACTCTATGACTGAAGAAATACTTCCTAACATCCCTTTGATTCATCTGAGTCTTCAACTTCCAATTGTGACCTTTTGTATCTGTGTCCCATCTCTGGAACATCCTGTCTTTGTCCACCTTGTCTATTCTGCACAGTATTTTATATGTCGTTATCATGTCTCCCCTGACCCTTCTGTCCTCCAGTGTTGTCAGGCCGATTTCCCTTAACCTTTCTTCGTAGGACAATCCCCTTAGCTCTGCAATTAGTCTTGTTGCAAACCTTTGCATTTTCTCTAATTTCTTGACGTGCTTGACCAGGTGTGGATTCCAAACTGGTGCTGCATACTCCAGTATGGGCCTGATGTAAATGGTGTACAGAGTCTTGAACAATTTCTTACTGAGGTATTGGGACGCTATCCTTAGGTTTGCCAGACGCCCGTACGCTGCAGTAGTTATCTGATTGATGTGCGCCTCAGGAGATGTGCTCGGTGTTATACTCACCCCAAGATCTTTTTCCTTAAGTGAGGTTTGCAGTCTTTGGCCACCTAGACTAGTGCCTGCGGTCTTCTTTGCCCTTCCCCAATCTTCATGACTTTGCATTTGGCAGGGTTAAATTCAAGGAGCCAGTTGCTGGACCAGGCTTGTAGCCTGTCCAGGTCTCTTTGTAGTCCTGCCTGATCCTCGTCCGATTTGATTCTTCTCATTAACTTCGCATCATCTGTAAACAAGGACACTTCTGAGTCTATCCCTTCCGTTATGTCGTTCACATATACCAAGAACAGCACAGGTCCTAGGACTGACCCCTGTGGAACCCCGCTTGTCACAGGCGTCCATTCTGACACCACGTCACATACCATGACTCGTTGTTGCCTTCCTGTCAGGTATTCTCTGATCCATTGCAGTGCCTTTCCTGTTATGTGTGCCTGATTCTTTAGCTTTTGCAGTAACCTCTTGTGAGGAACTGTGTCAAAGGCCTTCTTGCAGTCCAAGAAAATGCAGTCTATCCACCCCTCTCTCCATTGTCTTACTTATGTCACCTTGTCATAAAACTCCAGTAGGTTTGTGAAACAGGATTTTCCATCCCTGAAACCATGCTGGTTGTCGATTATACACTTGTTTCTTTCCAGGTGCTCCACCACTCTCCTCCTGATGATCTTTTCCATGACTTTGCATACTATACATGTTAGTGATACAGGTCTGTAGTTTAATGCCTCATGTCTGTCTCCTTTTTTAAAAATTGGGATTACATTTGCCATCTTCCATACCTCAGGGAGTTGCCCAGTTTCAATGGATGTGTTGAAGATCTTTGTTAGTGGCACACACAGCATCTCTGCTCCCTCTCTAAGGACCCACAGAGAGATGTTGTCTGGTCCCACCACCTTTGAGGTGTCAAGTTCACATAGCAGCTTCTTCACCTCCTCCTTGGTTATGTGTACCTCATCCAGCACTTGTTGGTGTACCTCCCTGGTCAGATTTCCTGGAGTCCTACTGGTTTCCACTGTAAATACTTCTTTAAATCTCGTGTTGAGCTCCTCACATACCTCTCGGTCGTGTACTCACCTATTTGTACTCACCTATTTGTGGTTGCAGGGGTCGAGTCACAGCTCCTGGCCCCGCCTCTTCGCGTGTGTGCGTATGTGTGTGTGTGTTTTGTTTGTGTGGTGTGTGTGTGTGTGTGTGTGTGTGTGTGTGTGTGTGTGTGTGTGTGTGTGTGTGTGTGTGTGTGTGTGTACTCACCTAATTGTGGTTGCAGGGGTCGAGACTCAGCTCCTGTCCCCCGTGTGTGTGTGTGTGTGTGTGTGTGTGTACTCACCTAGTTGTGGTTGCAGGGGTCGATTCATAGCTCCTGGCCCTGCCTCTTCACTGGCTGTTACTGGGTCACTCTGCTTAATGAGCTTTATCATACCTCTTCTTAAAGCTGTGTATGGATCTTGCCTCCACTACATCACTTCCCAGACTATTCCACTTCCTGACAACTCTGTGACTGAAGAAATACTTTTTAATGTCCCTGTGATTCATCTGAGTCTTCAACTTCCAACTGTGTCACCTTGTTGCTGTGTCCCATCTCTGGAACATCCTGTCTCTGTCCACCTTGTCAATTCCTCTCAGTATTTTATAAGTTATCATATCCTCCCTATCTCTCCTGTACTCCAGTGTCGTCAGGTCGATCTCCCTTAATCTTTCCTCATAGGACTTACCC